TTCTTCCAGTCTGTAGATTTTTTCGTGACGATTTATTCTTTCAGAGCTTCTCAACCTAAAGACATCGGTGTTTTTTTAACCGCGTGGAACGTAGGATTCCTCGCCCGCAATCTGATATGTGCTGCGTTGATATTGAGCCGAGGGAGCCATAGAACCCGGATTCGCGGATTCGATCCGGCCCCCTGACCCTAATGACGTTGGCTGGGTACTTGAACTCGGTGTGCTGCTGGAGAGATTCGATCGGGTATCGGCTCATTAGCCCCCGCGTTGCCTCGTCGGTTCATCGACACCCACACCACGGAATGGTCTGCTCTTCCCTGCACAAGAGGAACACACGTAATCGGACTCTGAATCTCGCTCCACACATCGATTTATCGATTCGATGACGGGTGCAGTTTTTCGAGAGGAGGGCAAACTCTGCCGGTGGCGTCGGCTGGTGGCGGCGGAACACTTGTTATCGTCGTTGCCGCCACACACATTCACTCGCTGACCTTCATTCAGGTATTGAGAAGAGTATGCTGTGTGTGTGTACGGGTGGTGCCGAGGTCACGTTCCCCTGTATTGCCAAGCGCCCGCCCCCCGTCTTCACGTCCCCACCCGCGTCCTGTCGCCGCGCGGGCGCCGGTCCCATCAGTCCATATTCTCTGTGTCTCGTGTGGGTGTGGCGAGGCACGCCTCTCGCGCGCCCCGCTTGGGTGCGTCTGCACCCAAAAGCTGCCGCGCGATCGATCGCTACGCGGCGGTCGCATTGGTTTAGCTGCACCCCCTCCACCGCCCCACCCAACAACTGTTCAGACTTCCAGGTTTCATTGTGTTCACCTTGAATGGACGAATTTTGAGCCACTTTCTCATCCCATGCGAAGCATTTCTTATCTGTTCTCAAATTGTTCCACAGATTTCCCTATAACGTGTTATTTTGTCCGCATTCTACTTCGCGTTTCGAAAACAGTTTTACTCATTGCTATTGGCTCTTGGGTGGAAGTTTTACCGCTTCTAAAAGTTGCTAAAGAAGAATTAGCGTGTCCTGCAACGATTGCCTGGGAGTGCATGGTTTTCTAGCTTGCGGTCATACTTTGCGATTGACTTGCAGATTGAGTGGTGGGTATATATGTATCGATCATGTGATCTGAGTATTTGGCATGATGCCCAATGTGCATTCCATACTCAGTCGGCTGATGTGCCGATTAGCAACAAGTCGCACGCTCATTGATGCGTATCGATCGCCAGACCGTGTCCGCGATTGGACGAATCGTACGTAATCAACGAATGTACGCCCTCATTACGATCGTGAATGGTCGACGATCGACTATGCATGCTCTCCCACGATAGCCTGATCGATACGTATTTTTATTTTACCAACACACCCTGTTTCATGGCAGCCAGAAATCCACGTGGCACACGTGGCTAAATTCTCGATGAAAAGGTGACATCACGTGTGCTCAAAGATGTTCTTGAATCGATGCCACGTTAATGCCACGTCAATTTCTGCAATTGCACAATTTCTGGTCATTTGAAGGCGAGGTACATTGGAAAGTCACAAGACTCCACCCCACTATGGTCGCGCCCTAAAGGGGTGAAATTTGGTGGTTGTCATCGCGTTCTAGCTTAATGTTGTTAGCTTACTTTTACTATGCATGTATATTTGAACGGATTTCACTTTGCGCATCTTTGAATTTGGATTTCATTTTGGAAGTGTATTATTTTTTACACCACCAAAATGAGACGTACTGTTTTCTTGTATGTGTCAGCTTGAATTCATATGCCTCTAACCATGCCTCACAAATAATTTAAAAAGAGGGCGCCCCAAAATTTCTCCCCGTGCGAAATGCGGTGTGCACAATTCTGTGCTTAAATTCCAATTTGCTCAGGAGTCCTTTAAAATTACGATCTGCTAGCAGCTTTTTTTCTACGCCATTCTTTCATGTTTTTCGTGTATTGGTACGTGTTTTTGTGCTTTACGACGTCAACGTCTGGGATAAGTAATTTTCACCAAGTGGGCAGCTAAGAGTAAGCCGGGGGAGAAGCTCGAGAAAATGAATATAGCTCACTTGCTCGGGGGTCCCCCTCTTATAAGACTTGTTCCGAAAGTTCACAATAAAGGAAAATTCGGCGCTTATGGCTACAGGGGGACATTCAAAACAGGACATTCAGAATTTCGTGGTACTTAAAACTACGTCTATGCCCAGGAGGGAGAAACGCCAGGGTCCCCCAGAGTTCTTTCTTCTCCCTGAGGCTTGGTCCCAAGCTCTGTAGGTGGCCCACTCATTTCATGGTTCTCTCGCCTCTAAAGATAATGAGCGTTCCAAAATGCTATCATCGTGCTTTAAAGCATGAGCGCGCTTCAGACCGGCCGTGCCCAGCCGATCTTTAACCCAAAATCTTCTTAGTGTAGCGACTGCTTTCATGCCTTTTATGAGTATGCGACTCTACAGCAACGTGGAAATCCAGTTTGTCAGTAGAGGCTCGATCTCTTACGGATTCTTATTTGAATCCTGTAGCTCCTTAAGAGTTTCCTACGCACTTATACTTGCCCATGTGGCTTGCCATCGTTTTAATGACAGATGACTGACTGTGATTGTGTTGTTTTTGTTATCGACGCTTTGTGAACAACAATACTTTACATCAATTTACACTGCTCAGTGAATAAAGGAAAAATAAAGCCGGGAAACAAAACAGTTTTTATATGCCCAAGGTCTTTTCCGCGTTTTTAAACGAATTACGGTCACCGTCCCATCTGGCTGATTCTGATTGTGACGGCTGATTACCGCAATCACGCGACTGTATGGCATTGTTTCTCGTCTGCTTCTCGTCTTTGTCGTGCTTTTACAGCTTCTACGTAAATAATTTCCGTAGCTCTTCTCAACGGTTTATTTAAACCTTTCATCGTGTGTGCTTTGGGAATGTTATTATACGTGCTGATCGTGATCATTGGGTTGCTTTCACCTTTGTGCCCATCCATTACTCTAAAACTGATATCCCCTAAGTAATTCGTATACCTATCTCATCACGGTGCATTGCTTGTATTAGCTTTGAACACAATCAGTTTTTCGCTCTCACGCATGACTTTCTGTAGTTGGTGTTCATGATGGGTATACTCGAGATCCGTAAGTTGGGGTAGGCGTGTCACCGGAAGTGACGTGTACTTGATAGAATCTATGTGGATAAGGTGCTTCCAATATATATCGCGAGATATCAGCAAAGCATGCTGGCAGCGACTTACCTACGCAACCTCTATCAAGTCCACGTCACTTCCGGTGACACGCCTACCCCAACTTACGGATCTCGACTGTATAAACTCGTAACTTCTACATTATACGCCACATTTTACTACAGTGATGTTGTGCCTTTTCGTGAGCGATTCTTTTTCATTTTGTTCTTCCCTTTGATAGCCTTTCCCAGACACCAGCTTAGTTCGCTAGGGACGTATGCCATTTTTCTCTCCACGATAAGGGCTCAAAGGAATATTTGAATTTCTGTATTCTACTGGTATTTCCCCATAACAAAAGTTGGAGACGCTGAAGAGAAACGATCGGAGGTATACGCCGAGATGCTCGCCTCTTTGAAAAAACTTCCCGCGCGCGCTCGTTTAAACAGATGTCGCACTGGGGCGAGCTTTCTCTCAGCTATACTGGTGTTAGAGTCACTACGGAAATCCTGAAGGAATGCGACCTGTAGAGGTAGATGTGGTTCACAATGAAGGATTATCTTCCTCAAAAGGATATTTCTTAAGAGTCAGCGTTTGTGTTCTTCGTTAGGTAATGCTCTCTGTAATACAACACGGGAATACGGGGAATAGTGCAGTCTGTAGGAGGTTTTCTGGAACTGAGCTACGGAGGGAGACGATTTTGGAGAGAAAGGTTGCTCACGCACTTCGGAGCCACTCTTCTCCTTTGAGGCTCAGTCCTAAAACTGAGCGCTTCCATAACCCTAGAAATCAGTGTGCCGCATTGCTGGCCGTTCTGGCCGCCCCACGCCAGCCCACCTGAGATGGTACTACATCTCTATATTCTAGACATTAACCTGTGATATTGAATCTTCCTTAAGGGGGTGTGACTTGAAGCCTCGCACTGATAAAGCCCACTCGTGTATTCAAAACGATTTGCGCACTCAACATATTGCCGTCTCCTGAGAGCACATTGCTGAAACCCATGAATATCGGCAGATCTTCGTTCGGTGAAAATTTAAGGCAACCTTCTGATTTTCACCTGTAGACACTAATTAGTAGTCAAGTAGCTCTGGCAGTCAAGTGCGTCCACTTATTTCCCGTAATGCAGTTTACGTCAAAAAATTATGTTGGAAAGTTCATCACAACTGTTCCTATGATTCCTCGCTTTTTCGTTTCAGGTATGTATTATTACTTTTGCTGAGGTCACTGACTGGTGAACAGTTTTTGAAAACACCGCTGTAGATATTTGAAAGGGTGATGGGCTTTGCTCTCACGACTTACTGGATGGAAGCACAAAATCCAAGCAGTTGCAGTGAAAAAATCCCCGATAAATCGCTCTGAGTTGCCTCCGTTGTGGACTTAACGAAGATTAGCGTCAACATACTGACATTTTATCATTTTCTTCAAAAAATGTCTTGCAAAATACCAATTCAGTGCTACAAGAGATAGGAAATGCTTCCAATTCATTACCTTGCTATCCAAAGACGCTTCCTACCAGTACTCTCGTGCGAACGACCGCATCCCCTAGTAAATCATTTCCTGCTCTCCTGCTAGAATATCTATACTCTTGCCTGCGGTGGTACCAGTGCGGAGAGCAAACTCAAAATATGGGAAAAGGCACGAAATTGCAGTGTCTCCAATCACTCTAGCTAGTTGAATGCTCGCTCCAGTGCTACGTATATTTGAACGTGCGCGCGCGGGAAATTTTTTCAAAGAGGCGAGCATCTCGGTGTATACTCCAATCATAAGAAACTATCACAATGGCCGATGTCAGACTTTGCGATTGGAGCGATTTTGCACCAATTGCAGGAGCGACGGATCGCTTGAGCGATGCGAGCGACGGGAGATTTACACCCGCCGAATACCGATACACACGGCGCCGCTCGGGTAAATCTCCCGTCGCTCGCATCGCTTGAGCGATCCGTCGCTCCTGCAATTGGTGCAAAATCGCTCCAATCGCAAAGTCTGACATCGGCCATATTCAAGAGTTTCTCGTCAGGTTTTCCAACTTTTGTTATGGGGAAATACCAGTAGAATACAGAAATTCAAATATTCCTTTGAGCCCTTATCGTGGAGAGAAAAATGGCATA